AGGCGCGAGATTTAAATTTAAAATTTACCGTCCGTGAACCTTGTTTACCTTGCGCCCAGTCACATCGTAAATTTTGTATGGAGGCTGTGGTTTGAAGTGAAATTTCTGCAAAGGGAAACTTTCAAATTTTGAATGGACTACATTGTTGGAAAGCAAGATAGTTGTTTTATCAGCTGTTGTAGAATTTTCGGCTGAGCTTCCCGTATTGTTGAGTTAGACGGGTTTGTTTATGGTGATACGTGCAGCTTGGCCAATGGATGTTGCCAACCTTGTCTCCTTTCCCCTCCTCCGCCGCGTCGCCGTGAATGTCATGATTTTAAAGCTGGATTTCAAGTGCTTCTACTAAAGGTATAAACTATTTATGTTGATGCATGCGCATGCTATGTACCCAAGTATATTTCCTTCAACGATAAGCATTGATTAGTGATACATTTTGGTGTAAAAATTCGGAATATTTTTGAGCTGATCGTTAACATTATTATTTTGAAATCGATACCGCAGGGGGTAATTAAGTATGCCAAGCATTTAAATTTAAATCGCACAGTGTGTCTGGGCTACCTATGGTTTTACTATAATTTTAATACGCCATGATGAAATCGTGTTCATCTTATGACGTCACATGGCATCAACATGGCCGATCAAAAGTTCGCACAGGAAGTGCCAAAAATGGCCGTTTGGAAGGCTATAAAATCGGTTTGAATTAACCAATTTCAATTCTGTTTGTGGTAAAAAGCTGAACAGTACTTTGATGTATAGACCGTCCCAGAACATGGAAAACTGTGTGCAGTAAATGTGGTTCTTTACATACAAACTGTTGACGTTTATGATGTAATTATAATTGTTGTAAGTCAGTGGTTATGTATGTATTCTTGTAATACCTATAAGTAAATATGTAATGTAAGTTTTTGGTGGGACTTAATTAGGGACTCACGTCCTGTTGTCCTTACCATTAGTCATTTGATTGTAAAGTTAATAAAAATTCATTATATCCTCGGTACTCCCATAGTTGTTGACGTGCTATCGATGTCGAATATTGTCGATCTGTTCCGGTTTTGGATATATCTCAGTTTGTTTTATGCCGAAGACAGTTGACTGTCTTCGGCATAACCATTCAACTTGGATGTTTATGCCGTTGAATGTCTTCGGCATAAACATTTGACTGTCTTCGGCATAAACATTCAACTTGGATAGTTATGCCGGTGAATGCTCACGCTTTCTCCAGTTACAGAATTTACAGAAAATTCAATCGTGTATAAAGATAAATTGTTGTTTTTTTAATTCGGTTCCTTTTGGGAGCATATATTTGTTGTATATTATTATCCCAGAAGTTTCTCAAAAACGGAGTAACGATATATGAAATTTATGAGGATCTTTCTTAATAAAAGTTAAACCAATTTTGCTGCTCTTTATTCATTTATGGTGAATGAAATTATGAATAATTTCAATTTGTATTTCTTTCCTGTAGCTCAGCCACCCTTCCAGTCACTATACGCTGTGTCACCGAGAACAATAAGGTCGATCGTAGAGTGGCTCAGTTTTGCTTACCAATCGGTGCCACTTGTAATATGGAGGGCAGTGCCTTGTACTTTGCCGTCGTCGTTATATTTATGGCAAACCTGGAGAATATGTCCCTCACATTTGGAGAGTTCATTTTGACTGCGTAAGGTCTTTTGTTCTTTCAACTTTTCTCGTTTCCAGGGGAATGGCAACAAAAATTAGTATTAAACTAGGGTACCTGCAAGGTAGGGATTGCTGCGGCCATTAATTAAGAGAAAATAGAACTAAATAGTTCAAATTATATAAAGCACAGTTATTACTCGCAGCGTGCCAGCGACTGGTGAGCACTGTGGCCGAAGCTTAAGGATACGGAATCGATTCATGCCATGAGTACATAACTGAGAGAAAAGCAATGCAGTTGTTGCCAACACCAGAGGTTAAAGGGCAATCACATGCAGGTGACAGATATATTAAACATGTGCGTCTCATTGAATACTTATTACTTGCGTGTTAATGTTAATATGAAAGTAATATTCACTAAAGCATATAAACTATAAAGCAAGAATATATATTTTCAAGACCAAGTGGAATGTGTTCAATTACGCGCTGCTTAAGTACTGTATGCGTATAAATTATCGTTAAACAAATTTAAAATCAATAAAAAACATCAAGCCATAGCCAATTTTACAATATACACGAGGCATCAGCGAGCAAAGACGCAAACTGAACACGAGGCTCAAAATGCCTCAAATACGCCGAAAACAATTTTAAACGGGCCAAAGTAAAATATGTTTCCATCTTAAAACCTTAAACTGATTAAAAATAGTTTACAAAATAGAAGCAAGCAAAACAATAAACTATATATTTCAAATACACCACATACAAATACTGTCTGTCACACGTCGCACGAAATGCTAAACATAATATCCAGCCACCAAATGCGCTAATATTGCAGGGTGTATATAGTGAAACGAATTACACCAAAACATCAGGCAAAACAACAAACAATTGCCAATCTTGCGCTCATTGAAAAACAGAATATCGTACCTTTTACTTGCTGTTTAGTTGTAACCGATCTGTGGTTGAAAATCAAAACAAAATTAAATATCATAAATTTGAGATAAATTTGAGCTGATTGCGCATGTGTAGTGAGGTGAGACGGATTTATGAAAACTGCGCACACAAATGCGCGCGACCACAATTCCATGCGACGCTAAAAATCTTCTTTTTTACTACCTACTGCACAAATTAGGCAGCTGCTTCGCTCCGCTCGCTTCAGGCTCGCTCGCTCCGCAGCAATTATGCATTAACACATAATGCGTAATTTAATTAGCATAAGTGGCGAACTAAGGGTCACTTTCCATGCCAGAATTTTTAAACCTATCTTTTTCATATCAGCCACGAACGATCAATATAACGGTCGGCCACCGGCCACTAGCCGAGCAAAATGCTGATATGGTCGTCTACTGATTACCCTGCACGGACATTATGGCCGATCGTTTTGTCTCATTAATTTGAATATTTCTTCCTTTATTGTTGCAAATATTTTTAACAAAATCTGTAATCTTTAACACGTCATGCATGCATGTAAACAAAGATTCCGTCTGCTAGACAATCACAGAATCTGACTTCGTCCCGATCCACACAATAACAATAGCAATAACAATGTCATCTCGTTCAGAGAAATATTTTGTACTGTTACTGAGTAAGTTGTCGTTGATATACTGTGTAATTTTGGTTTATATACTACAGTGACAACTGACAACGTCCCTCTTGAGAATAATTAAGTATCCCATCATGTCCGAAATGAACATGGGATGGTTTGACACAATGCATGACTGAGACCAAGTTTTCAGAATTATATTGAACTCTCAGTCTGACATCCCCTTCATATATATACACAAACTGAACTTAATTCACCAATCAAACAGAAAATTTATTGAACCCACTGAAAAAAGAAACCATTTACAATTTTATAGCAGTATAAAATAAGCTGATATGCCCGGTAATGACAACATGCAGTAATGATAAATATATATATATATATATATATATATATATATATATATATATATATATATATATATATATATATATATATATATATATATATATTTATTATATGGATATGAGTAAAATACCGTAAAATACGCCACTGATATTTCCCGTATTTCACTATAGTGAAATATGAAATCATATCTTACGCGGGAACGTCTCGCGCGGGACCCACGCTAATTCCCGCCATTTTGCCGTTTCTGTTTTGAATATACAATATGACAACTTCTCGACATTTTGTTGATGTTTTCGACGCTGATTTGGCAAGGTTTTCTGAAGAAAATGAAAACACAAAAAGGAAGACTAATTAGTCCTATTTGGCGATCTTCAGCGACTATTTAGCCTCGATTAGCAAGCGGAGAGACATAAACATTGTTGCCGTACGGTGAGCTACAAAACAAAACAAAACAAAAAACAAAACTTGAATAAACTAATAAAGTCATACGTTTTGTTGTTTTTGCTTCAACTTTTATCCATATAATAAAAAGAACATTTCACGGTGCCTTTGGAAATATGACTTTTATTTTCTCGTGTTGAAAACAATATTTTACTCACTCGCTGCGCTCGTTCGTAAAATATTGTTTTCACCACTCGAAAATAAAAGTCATATTTCCGTGCCACCGTGAAATATCCTATATATATATATATATATATATATATATATATATATATATATATATATATATATATATATATATATATATATATATATATATATATAATTATATATATTATATATAACAAGTTTATTGGCATTCAGCGATATCCAACTTAAATTTTGATGTATGCCATGCACACTTCGATGCCATATTGACAAAGATACATTCATATAAACAGGTGTAAACATTTTTGGAACTGAAGAAATTAGCTAAAAATGGCTTATTAAATATTAATACATACAACATGCAATAACTTGTGTTGAGACGCATTA